AGATAACAATCATTCAGGCATGTATCTTCACATTATTTATTTATTAAAAAGAAGCGAGCTAGTTAAATTTTTCTTTTATAAATTTTCATTTATGAAAGGCTTCCGTCTTTAAATTGTTATTCTTGGATTCCCCATGTTTTCTTTCTTGAAAGGAAAGAGTGCATCCTTGGCAATTAACATAGTGGCTGGTGATCGTGTGTGCTTTCATTCTGCACTTAAACGCGAAAGGAAGCAAATTATATATATATACGAGAATATAGTGTGATGTTAAGAAATCTTTAGTAGTAGATTACTGTTATTACTTTTACCTTTGAATGCAGAAGTCGAACTTTTATCCAGACACCAAGTCTTCATTTGGGACGGCTTTATTTTTGCTTCTTAAAGCAGAAAGTTTGCTTCTTAAAGCAGAAAGAAAGCCGTCCCAAACGAAGCCTAAATTCCTTCACAAATTGATGAAGAGAAGTGCCTCTCTTTGAAAAAAATGATGATTTGATTAAATGTAATCTGATTGAACTCCTATTCCTATGACCTTATTTTATGTTTACCTTTCTCATGGTGTTCATAATTCTTTTATTTTGTTCCCCATTCAGGCATTTCTTTAAAGACACAAGAGCTTTATGCTCTCGTATTTGTCAGCCGTTACATGAATATCTTTACGGACTTCATTTCACTTTATAACACCATCATGAAATTGATTTTCTTGGGGACTTCATTCTCAATTGTGTGGTACATGAGATATCACAAGATTGTACGCAGATCATATGATAAGGATCAGGACACCTTTCGCCATTATTTTCTTGTGCTTCCCTGTCTAATCCTTGCACTTCTTATCAACGAGAGGTTCACTTTTAAGGAGGTGAAGTATAATTTTTTTATTGTTTTTTCGCACATTGCTCCATTTGAAGTTACTTAAACATTTTGATTGTCTTTGGCTTGACAGATAATGTGGACATTCTCCCTGTATTTGGAGGCTGTTGCCATCCTTCCTCAATTGGTGTTGTTGCAAAGGACAAAAAATACTGATAACTTGACTGTTCAGTACATTTTTCTTTTAGGGTAAGATTTCTTCTTGATACTGCCACTGTTGCTCTTCCACAATGCAATTAGAGTGACTGTTTATCATTTATTTGCAATTTATTTGTTTTATAGTTTCCTTACTAGGATTGTGACTTTTGGCGATCAAGTAATTAATAAGAGTACACGTTTTAGATATCGTTGATCTATTGTTCATAGTGATGATGAAATAGATGGGATATTATCAGCAGAATTCAAATTGGATGGTTGAAGTGGAGGAATGCATCGGGCTTGTTTTGCGATAGAAAAGCACCGCTCAAACTTAAGGGTAAATTCTATAAGATGGTGGTGAGACCTACAATGTTTTATGGTGCTGAATATTCGTCATTAAAAGAGAAGCATAATTCTAAGTTGAGTGTTGCAGAGATGAGAATGCTTAGGTGGATGAGTGGCTTTACCCTTAGAGATAGGATACGAAATGAGCATATACGTGAAAAGGTTGGAGTAGCTCCAGTGGAAGATAAGATTAGAGAGAGTTGTCTTAGATGGTTTGGTCACATTAAACGGAGACCTTCCGATGACCCGGTTAGGATAGTTGAGGTATTAGATTTGACTTATATTAAGAAAGGTAGAGGTAGACCTAAAAAGACTTGGTGAGAAAATATTAGAAATGATCTTTCTTTATTAGCTTTAAATGAGAATTCGACTTTTAAGAGGACACAATGGCGAAAAATGATTCATGTAGCCGACCCCACGTAGTGGGACAAAAGATTGATGTTGTTGTTGTTGTTATTGTATAGTTCCCTTACTATTTTACCTGTCTATTTTCTTCTCTTAATGATGGTAAACTTAATAATCAAAGGACAACCTACAAACTTTTTTTTTTTTCAATATGTCATTACACCAAAAGATGCATTGCCAGGTATTTTGTACAAAAAAACAGATCCGTTAAAACCCATTAGTGTTTTGTCTATAAACATTTTTTTTATAAATACTTGTTTGGTTGATTCTTTTTAGATGTTGAATTCAACGTAGCATAAGGTTTCTAAAAAATTACTCATTTGATTCGTATTTTCAATCATTAAAAATGGCTATAGCATATAAAAAAAATGGGAGACGCCAATCTCTGAAACAAAAAACACTAATATTTTTTCTTGCATTTAGAATATTAGCACTAAATCTAAATGTCTGCAAGTGCAAAGTTGTTGATCGACCAAATTTCAGCCTAGCTGTTGAAATTGCTTAACATTTTTCCTGAAATCGATTTAATTTACATTCCATTTTTATGTATGAATTCCTAAAGAAGACAACAGTGAAGAAGATCGGAGCATCACTTCTGCTTGAAATTTTTATTTATTTTTCCCTTTTACATTAAACGCTAATCTAATGCCCAAAGTAATCCTCTCATCTTGCAGTGCATATCGAGCTCTTTACATACTAAACTGGATTTATCGCTATTTCACAGAACCGGACTATATTCATTGGATAAGTATGAAGACCTATGCTTTGTTTGGGACGGCTTTTTTATTGCTTCTTAAAACAGCTTGTTAGTTCAAAAATTAGAAGCTGCTTTAAGAAGCAATAATAAAGCTAGTGATGTCTAATAACAAATTTCTTTTTGATGGATTTGCTTGCTCAGATTACTCCCTATATTTCTTTCATGCAGCTTGGATATCTGGACTGGTGCAGACTATTCTCTATGGCGACTTCTTTTACTATTACTTCCTCAGGTAATTAAACACCTATAGCTAACAAGAACATCCACAAAGTTGCCTGCACTATATCATATCGTTAATATTATAAACTCCTTTCAGCTGGAAGAACAATGTGAAGCTCCAACTGCCTGCTTAGGGTTACTGGATCACATTTATCAATCAACTTATTGCTTTAGATCTCACTAAACTGAGAAGAAAATCCCATTAAAACTGGGAAAGGTTAAGGATTTGTTGTATTATGGTTGTAATATGCACTTCAACCAGCTTATAGCTTATTCTTTTGTGGGATCTTTAGTCATTAGCTTTACTTGTAGCAGACCCAAAAAGATTATTCTTTGGAAAGCAAACACTGTCTGTGTTGCATAGTTAAGTAGACAAAAGTATTGCACAAGTTCCTTCTTCCCTTTTGCTATTAATCACCAAAAAATAGAAGAGTACTTCAACATGCAGGATTACTCAGACTAAGGCTTCGTTTGGGACGGCTTTTTTATTGCTTTTTAAAATGGAGTTTTAGTGAAAATTTTTAAATTTTTTTTATTAAAACTTCGTTTTAGAAAGCAGTAAAAAAGCGGTCCCAAACGAAGTCTAATTCCTTCTTAGTGTAAGAACTTGTGGTTAATTTTCTTCTAGTGTTTACTTTTTACTTAAAGGTTTTGTTTGGGATAGCTATCTTATTGCTTTTTACAGCAACTTTTTAGTATAAAATTTCTTAGTTCGAAAAAATTTTGTAATAAAAAGTTGTTTTAGAAAGCAATAAGAAAGCTGTATCAAGTGAGCCCTAAGTCATCAAGTAATGAATAACTTAAAGGTCTATTTGAGACAACTTTTTTATTGCTTTGCTTTTCATGCTGCTATTATGGCTTTATTTGGGACGGCTTTCTTACTACTTAAAAACAATTTTCTAATAACAAATTAACATTTTTATATTTAAAAGTTGTTTTAAAAAGCAATAAAAAAGCTGTCTCAAATCAAACCTATACTTCAATTTGATTATTATTTTCTTGTTACATTTTAAAAATTTATGAGGTTATGATCAATTTATTGACAACCAGATATGCTATCCTTTAGTTGTAAGGAAGTCATTATTTTTTTTTTTAATTTTTTTAATGGCTGTAGCACTGGCATTAGCTTTAAAAAAAAGTTGATTTCCTCACAATTTTATAATCACTTTTTATTAAAAAATAGATATTGACTTCTGACCTATTTGTTGAGCAAAATGAGCTGGTGTTGGCTGGACCCAAATCATGGCTTATGTTGGAAGAGGCCTGAAGTCAGACCAAACCATGGGTCACCTAATTTGTTATCTAAAGCTCATTCTAAACCTTGCCAAAATGAACGATTAATATAGTACATTACACACAAAAAAAAAAAAAAAAAAAAAAAAAAAAAAAAAAAAAGAAAGAAAACATTAAACTACACAAAAGCCTTTGTTTGGTTATGCTGTATAACTGTGACAGTTAGAATCACTTCTTTAATGGCAGCTATGGTTGAGAATTTGAAGTTTAGATCATCTCGTTATGTTCAAATTAAACATGAAATGGGGCAAAGTTAGGTTTAGGTTTTGTTTGGAACGATTTTTTTATCGTTTTCTAAAGTAATTTTTTAGTACAAAAATTTTGAAATATTCTTTTAAGAGCATTAAGAAAGTTATTTCAACTAAAGCATTCGAGACTAATAATTTATTTGTAAATTTAAAAGATTAGGAAAAGTCAATTAAAGTGAGATATTTGGTATCCAATTTGGGATTTTGGGATTTAAAAGAGGAAGGAAAGATTCCTCCAGGGAGAGTTTTTTTTGGAGAATCAAATTTGGATAATTTTATATCCAAAGAGAAAATAAACACCTTTTGGGGAGGAGTTCATTTCATTTGGGTCATGGCAAACCATCTAACCTATTACAGTGCAACTTTGTTTATGGGATGTTATGTATCTCTAGGGAAAATTTTATTTTTATACCTAATTCTTAAAGTTCAACATATTATTTTTTCATTAAGGTCAATTAGCATGCATTACATTAGAAATTAATTAAAATTAATTAAGACTTAATTGTATAGAGCATAATCCTACCATATATAAGTAAATGAACCAATTAGGAAATTCTCTAGATGTTGATCCCAAATTCTCAAAAACATAAATAACAAGCCTTGCATATCTTTCATAAGACCAAATTCTTGGTTTTAAAGTGCTTAGGCAATTTAGTTGGCTTTTCAATCCAAGCTGATGTAAGCCCATAATTGCATTTCATTAGATACATTCAGGTTACTATTGTTTAGTGCCAAAATTAAATTCAGGTTCAAGAGCGGACTCAAAATTTTAAGTCCCTAACATCATAAATTTAAAAATTCTAATAAAATATCAACTCAAACATAAACTTTAACTCATCCAAAATTTAAAACCCAACATAACATAGATTAAGGCATTTCAAACTTATTACAAAATCTCAAAATACCCCATACTTCTCATCTTTTGGGCTCCAAAATAAGTGCTCAAAAGTTTGACCCAATTCTAATTTCCAACACCCCTCCCTTCACATCAGTCATTGAAAATTAGAATAGAATTTCTACCATTATTTTAATCAAGAGTATCCATGAGAAACTTAAACTTCCTACGATGTAATCAATTACAAAGACTTACATTTTGAGATATTTAAGACCCCAGATAAATTAAATCCCATCCTATTTGGCACCCAAATAGAATGGGGGAAATTAATCATTTTAAGAAAATTAAAATCAAAGAAGATCATTCTTGTCATATTCAAACTGTTAATAATAAATGACATTTCTTTTCCTTGGGAAGATATATCATTTATTTTTACGATATTGATTATGAAAATAATGATAATATATCTAGATTATCATAGCTAAATACATGATCGAATAATATTTTGACCTTTCATTGTCATGTATAGTTCTTTTCTAAATTTGACTATAATAGTCGGGATGAAATTTATAATTATGAATATGAACCCATTAGAAAATATTATTTTTACCTTGAATGACATATCATTCATAAAGATGTGTTTGATTTCAGAATAAAAAATTCAAAAGCCTATATTTAAATTTTCTCAAAAATACAATCCAACTGATTTGTACCTTTCCAAAAGTAATCAAATAGAGGTATGTGTTTTGAGAGATTTGCTTGCCAAGTTCAAGAATCGATGCGAACAATTTGTTGAATAAGTTTCATCACTATAGGAGTGGAATGCATAGTTGGAGAGTTTGGAAAAGCTTAAAGGGTATGGGTGGGGCTTTTTGGATCGCCCTGAAATGTGATTAGTGTGTGGCTCTAATTTTTAAGCTAATTTCTATCAGTTGTTGAACAAGCTCTCTGGGGACTTAGAATATTTAAATTTTCTTTTACATTTGCCAAAGTGAATGTTCACTCACTCTGTAATCATAAATTCTCTAGTTATTCTCAACATTTTCTTCTTATCTTGGCAATATCTAATGATATATTCTTAGATGTGCCACATCTTTTTTAAGACCTGAGTCCACATTGGGGTAATCATCCAAACTTGTCAATAAAAAGGGCCCATGCTTCACACAAAAGTGGGTATTATATAGCTATATATATATTTTTTTTCTGTAGCAATATATGAGTTATCATCTTATGATACTTGAAATGAACTTGAGGTGTATTGCAGATTTTTTTTAAGATTCATTTCAAAAGAAAGTGGAAGGATGAACGATTACAGTGATTGACAGGGTAGAACCCCCTTAAGTGGGGGGGGGGGACAGGGGAGAACCCCCTTAAGGGGGGGGGGGGGGATGGGCAATTTCCCCCCTAAAAAATTCTTTATTATATAATTCTTTAGGTAATTTGTCCTCCTTCATCTATTTTTTAGTCTTTATTACAAGAATTTTTAGACAATTGCACCCCCCACCGACCCACACACCCTAAAAGTTTTAAAATACTATAGTCTTTAGGCAATTTCCTCCATCAAATAGTAAAAAGAAATCATCATTTTATTTATTAATTTAAATTCCAAAAAAATTCCTTACAAACAATATTTGTTCTGAGGGCGTTGCCCCTAGAAACCCCCGCAAGTTGAACCCTTGCCCCCTTGGACCCCTAGCATGTCTGTGAAACATATGATGATCAAGGATATGAATAAATAGGGGTCAAACCAAATTCACTGCAACTTCGAAAATACATTTTGTAGAAATTGAATGATTAATCAATTACATCTTTTTGATTGTTTTTGTAAACAAATCATCCATACTTCAACCTAAATTTTATTTAAGAATAAGTGTCACTATATAAAATGTTTATGATATTTTTAAAATGTATTATGTACTCAAGTACAAGAATTATTAGTCACTAAAATTATATATATTTATATTAAAAAAAATTCCCTACACTTTTAGTGGCAAAATTATAAGCCATTTTTTTTTTGTATGGATAATATCAAGTTTCCTTATTATTTAGAGGCCTTAGTTACTTTTGATAGCTAAAAGATATCTTTAGCGATAATTTTCTCTTTGTATCTATTTTTTTTATCGCTATTATGAAGGGTCAAGCCAAATTTGAGGCAACACCAACAGTTACTTACAAGTCCCCCCTAGACACGTGTGTTGAAAATTAAGGCTGGTTCCACCCTTGGTGATTGATTGGGTTAATCTTGATCATTTAGAGTATATAGTTTCAAAATAAGAGAACTATTTATTCCCACAAAGTTCACAGAACTCTCTTTATTTTGAGGGGTGAATTGGCTAAAGTAAAGTGATGACCTCATTAAGTGTAGATTATTTGTCTACATGGTGGCTTCTACTCTCCTATAACTTACTTAGGAGTGTTAGCTCTCCTAAAGAGAATAGTCTCATAAATTTTTAACTTTACCATAAGCTGAGAGCACTCCAATTTATGAACCCATGTTAGTTTATCTCTTTTATTTTTTAAGGATCCTCATAAGTTAAATTCCTCATGTGATGGTCTCATCACTTATCAAATATCAATTTAGCATTCAAAATAAGTGGTCGTCAATAATTATCCAGTCTTATCTTATCACATCATTTTAGTCAATAGTCGTTAGTCTCATCTCTCTTATATGTCATATAATATCAGTGCATGTATTCATATTATATGTTATATATGCACATATACCAATTTTATATGGTATATCTATAAATGTTATCAATATTTGTATTCATCAATGTAAGGTTCAACAAGGTAAGACATCCAGCTTTTAATATGATGCTTTTATCCTTCCATGCCAATTATCATTGGTATTTAATTTAACCATAATTATTGACCAACTAGTCATCGATCTTTATTTTTTTATCATTATTTATTATCTTAAGTCAATTCAAATGTAGTTTTTAATAATCATTTAAGAGTCATCACACTCTATACATCGACATAATTCGATTAGTAAATTATAGGTTACAATCGAGACAACACCACA